AAAAGAAAAGAAAAGAAAAGAAAAGAAAAAGGTACATGAAGGGCTGTGGAGGTCTGAGGAGGAGATGTTCAGGAAGATTTCACAGAGGGGCAGGGAGGTTTTGAACAGCAAGCAGAGGAGGGCCACACCTGGTCTGGAAGAGGCACAGGGGTCGGGGGAAGAGCTGGTACCCACACTTGGAAGTCCAATCACCTTCCAGAAGCTTCTTAAAGCACCTACTCTGTACCTGTTGGTGACTAGTCTGGATCTGCCGAGATACAGCCTATTCACCAGGTGTGTAGAGGCTGTGGGACAGAGGACAAGGTAACTTCAGTGCTGACTAGAGATGTTGGCAACCTACTGAATGGCTCAGAGCAGACCAGAGCAAGAGGAACAGGCCTCCTCCGACCTCTATCTTGCAGGGAATTCTAGAAAGATCCTGGTTTTGGAATCAGAAAGCCCAGATCCACCACTTATAAGTAAGGCTCTCTTAACCTAGCGAAGTCTTCAGGGGTTGTAGTGAGACTCAGATGGGACAATGAAATGAAAGGGTTTTTGTAAGTTGCCGATGATATGGGAGAGATTTCTGGTCTCCCTGCCCATGTAGGATGTGGCTACTCTTTACTGAGCACTTACTGCTTGCCTAGCACTGGAATGGAGCATTTAAATACTTCACACAATGTTATAGTTCTCCTGTAGCTGCCATCTAATTGTGGGGAAACTGAGGCACAGTTAAACAACTAGCACAAGGTCACAGAGGCAGGCAGCCTGACTCCAGAACCATCCTACTTGTAATTAGTAGCCCCTTCCCCACCCTGCCTCTGATGCCCCTCTTTAGTTCCTAAAGCTCATCCCTGCTGCATCTCTGTATCTCTCCTATCCCCACCCCTCACAGCCAAGGAGGATGCCTTCTCTGGCCCTTCCTACTGTGAGGCCTGGCAAAAAGTTGGGCATAGAGCTGGCACTCACCGAGGCTTGCTTGACCCTACCCAGGCAGTCAGCCCAGCATGTGCTGGGAGCTAGGGCTGGACACGGAGTCTGTCTCCCTCTGCTGGTCCCTAAGGGGATAGCCAGGCCAAGGTGCTTTGCCCAGATCCGGTGGTGCCCCTGTCCCAGGAACAGGAGATAGGGAGAATGAAAAGAGGGCCTGGGGACTCAGACCAGGCTCTAGCCCACAGGAACACCAACACTGCCTCCTGGGGATCCTTTGGCCAGAAGCCTGCCTCTAGCAGGGGAGCCAAGGGTGGTCTTAGCGAGGCCAGGTCGCCTCCCTGATGCCTTGGGGGTGGGGAATGGGGAGGCAGGCTCCAAACAGCCTCCTTCCTTTTTCTAACCCATGAATGGAGCTGTCATCCATGGATTTATCTGAACCTTTTGTGAAGCTATTTATATTTCCAGCCGAGACCACATCTTGGGGTAATGAGTTCCATCGGTGTCCTCCCCTGCTGGGTGAAGCATGCTGCCTTTGATTTGTCCTAAACTTACCTCACTTGCGCTCCAAGGGGGCCCTGTAATTCCAGCATGCCAGGTTTTGGTGAACAAGCCTGAGCTTCCCCCTTCCCATCCCCACTGTGGGTTTAAAAAATTCCATCCCATCTCCCCTCCACCTCCAGCCCCGCAGACTGAATAGAACTGGTCCCCTCGTTTGTGCACGGTGTCTGATGGCATGGGCACATGTTATCTCATCTCAGCCTCCAGCAGCCGTGAGGAAGAAAACCACTCTCATTCTCCTCGAGAGGCCAGGACTCGGCCAGCATTATGGGGCAGTATGTGGTGTGACTCGGGGATGGGAGCCTTCCTTCCGAGCCACTTGCCCTTGGGCTGACTCTTCTCAGGATTTTCCAGTTTCTGCACACTGGGCTGTTCCTCTATTTTCTTGGGAGACTTTTCTCTGGCGTTCCTAGTATGCAGTTGTCATGGCTTAACCCAAGCTAATGGTCTGTCTCCAGTTCTGCTGAGAGGCTACTATGATTCTGGGGACAGAGGTGGTAGGACACTGCCATCATTGGAACAGCAATGCCAACAGCAAATACAGAGAGCTTTCCAACATGAACTAATGAATCCTCACGATAATCCTTTTGAGGTAGATACAGTTGTTTCTTACAATTTACAGATTAGGAATCTGAGGCTTAGCGAACAGCAGCAACTGTCCATTTTTATACAACTTGTAAGTAAGGGAGCCAGGATTCAGATCTAGGCAGGCTGACAGCTAGGACCTCATTCTGCACCTTTGTAACACCTGTGAATTGATGCTCTTCGGTCATCCAACATAGACGTTTTAAACCGCTGCCATAAGCCAAACACTGTGCTGATTATTAGGAGAAATACCAGGGAACCAGGAAGGCCCTTGGCAGGGCTTGGCAGTGGGGGGCTGGTAGCACCTGGTGTACCACACATGCATCACAAGCAGGCCACATAGTACCTCACCAGCCAGGCACCCAGGCACTCAGAGCTACCTTGTTTGGTTACCCCAGAATAAGCACACAAATACCATTTCCTGTGTATGTACTGATTGTATCAAAACAAATCACAGTGAACCCCAACCCCGCAAACTCCTCTACCTCTCTGCCTTTTTAAAATTTTTATATTTTTTTGGTACCAGGACTCAAACTTGGGACCTTGTGCTTGCCAGGCAGGCACTTGTGCCACTGAGCTATATTTACAGATTAGGCCCATTCTGCCTTTTAGTAACACCAATCTGGTAAAAATCCTACCGTGAGTAATCCCACCTGTGCTCTTATGTCTATGAGGCAGGTCGAGCAGAACATCCCAGGCAGAGACAGAGCAGTTCTGGCATATCATTCTCACCAACTCCTCAGTGAATGTGCTTTTCTGGTCAATTCATCCTCAAAGCCTTGCCTCCTCCCAACTGTTCCTCCAGGAACTAGCCCCCCCGCCCCACACCACCACACCAATTCTTCCCAGTGGCATGGTCCCATAGCCCAAGTGGTCATTGTTCCTGGTCTTTCTCCAAAGTGTAACTTCCTATTGACTTTGGTGATTGTTAGGATTTAGATCCTAAACATCCCTCCAAAGTCTCATGTGTTCAGAAGTAGGACTTTTTGAAGGTTACTGGATCATGGGAACACTATACTCATCAGTGGATTAATTCATTCATGAGGCCATAGCTAAATGTGCTATTAGAAGATGAAGCCCAGTTGGAGGAGGAGTCACTGGGGACATCACCTGAAAGTTCCCCAGATTGTTCCCAGCAACCCCCTTCTCTCTGTCTCCTGGTTGCCATGGGTGGAGTAGCTTCCCTCTGTCAGGCCCTTTTACCATGCCATTTCTGCCTTGGAGCTGGATGACCATGGACTAAACCTCAGAAACTGTGAGCTGAAATAAGCATCTTTTCCTCTAAATTGCAAGCGTTAAATATTGTGTCTCTGTGGAAAGCTAATTTAGTGATTCTTTGATGAATGTCAGTTTCTCTTAGTAGACTGCAGCCTCCTTCCAGCTCAGGAAACTTGACTGCACTGTTTAGGCAAACTCCCACTCAGAGCCTTGGCACTGGCCATCCCCTCTACCCACAGCACTCTTCATCAGATGTCTGCATGACACACACCCTTCATTCCCACAGGTCTTTGTGCAAATATCTACTACTCAGCAAGGCCAGCCAAGCAATGCTATTTAGAGTCAAAGTCCTTCTTCCCCAACACCCGCCTCTCTCTCTTTGGGCTTTCTTTCTCCCCATAGCACCTGCCACCCTCTATGCACCATGTGATGACTCATTCATCTTGTTGTCTGTCTCTTCCCATCAGGGTGGAAGCCCATGATAGTAAGGACCTTTGTCCCATACTCTTTCTCATACTTAGAAAAGTGTGTCCAGTGTGTGTTGAATGAGCGAATTCCTGAGTAACAAGGTCTCAGGTTGACTTCCTATGGCTTCAGCCCTAGCCATTGGAGTGAGAATTAGTAGCTAAAGGGAAGTAATTTCCCAACAGATAAGTATTTTTTAAATTTGAATTTGTCGCCACCTTCTTCCATTCTCTGTCACTCCCCTAGACACACCTCTAACAAGGGGTGTAGCAAAAACAGTAAAAGTTTGGGGATTTGAAAAAGTCCTGAGATGCCAGGTGTGGTGGTGCACACCTGTAATCTCAGCACTTGGAAGGTTGAGGCAGGAGGATCACTGAGTTCAAGGCCATCCTGGGCTACACAGGGAGACCCTGTCAAGAAAAAGAAAGCAAAAGAAACTGAGGTGCAGAGAGGCCCCCTAGCTTGCTTGAGGTCACCTATAAGTAGGGCTACACCTAGGTCTCCTGTCCTTTAGCAGAGACCCAAGTCTTCTTTGGGTCCCCATATCTATCCTCTATCCAACAGAAACAATTCCCAGTGTCTTTGAGGCCCCCCGCCCTCCATGTGTCTTCCCTTCCGAGCTGGAAATGCATAACTGGATGTGGCAACTGCAAGCCTAGCAGAGCTCCCTTCCAGCCCCAGAGCCTGGGGAATCCAGGAAGCAGGACACCAGCTACAGCTCCTCCCTAGCGCTGCCAGTGGATAAGGGCACCGAGAAGTCCAGGACCTCTCTGGGAGTCTCCCGGCTTTTCTGTCAAGTTGGAAGGGGTCCCAGTGAGTGTCCTGTTGTTCCCCGTCTCTCCCTACCACAGTACAAAGATGAGGGGGGCAGCCCGAGGCAGGGAGGACATGTGCAAAGTCAAAAGAGCAAGTGGGTGCTAAATCCCAAACCTCCTGGCTCCTAGCTCCTTTCTGGCTTCTAAACCCTGCAGAAGATTCAGATTATTTTCTACTTTTGGCAAGGGGTGGGAGGCTGACTAAGGACAGACTAATTAAGAGGCCCAAAAGTGTTTCTTTCTGCCTTCCCCACTCCCTATGAGCAGAGACCTCAAGGTGACAGGTTGCTGTAGCCCTAGAGGTGTCAGGAGCAGAAACATGACTGGTGGAAACCTTCTCCTTTCCTGCCCTGTGGGAGCTTTGTGGTCAGGCTGCTCAGCAGTCAATATGAAGATGGGAAAGCCACACTGGAAAGGAAGAAATGGTAAGGAAGTGAATTGCTTTGACTGTAGCAGTTTCTTGTTTGTTTTTGTGGTACTGGGGATTGAACCCAGGAATCTTGCACTGAGCTACATCTCTAGGCTCCCCCCACCCCCGCTCCACTTTTTTTTCCTTCACTTTATTTTGAGGCAGGGTGCCACTAAGTTGCCCAGGCTGGGCTTGAATTACCATCCTTCCTCAGCTTCCCAGAGTGTTAAAATTACAGGCATGCTCACCATGCCCTGTTATGGCTGTTTTGTTTGTGTTTTTGTTTTCTTTTTTGAGTCAGGGTCTATGTAGTTCAGGCTGGTTTTGAACTCACTATGTAGCCCAGGCTGGCCCTGAAATCACAGTGATCCTCTTGCCTCAGCCTCCTGAACACTGGGACTACAGGCGTGCACCACCATGATGCCTTTAAGGTTGTTTTTGTTGTTGTTGTTGTTGAGTTTTACAGTATGGGGACAGCTATACTGTCCAGGGAAGGGTGGCACTGTGGACAAAGGGCTGGAAACTGAGGTTATTTCTTTCACCATTATGCTGAGTGACCTCGCAGCTCCTCAACTTTATATGGTTCATGCCTTTATTAACTTAACATCTGTTTAGTGATCATCTATTGAAAGCCAGAACCTGTGTGAGGTACCAAGGTTCAGCAGCAAACAAAACATACATGGCCTCTGCTCATGTGAGGCTGGTATCATAATGGTAAAGACAGCTGCTGAATAAGGAACATATGAAATAATGTCAGGGTGATAAGCATCATGATTCCAGCACTGCAGTGAGAGGCAACAGGCAGAGCTGAGGAGGGGCAGCTACAGCTGAGCCACGGAGGAGAAGCCACATGTGAGAAATGGGAAGGTCATGCGATGGGACCAGCATGTGCAAAGCCCCAGAGAAAGTGTGGGGTCCAAGGGAGGAGACAGGTAGTGAGATGGGTGGGACCTGGATCCTGCAGGTTCAGGGTCAAGAGTTTTATGGCAACCACTGGAGCATGCAAACAAGCAAGAGGCATGACACTGTTTTAGGAAGGTCACTTTTTTTCCCAGTAGCGTAGACTGAGCTCAGGGCCTTGTCCATGCTAGGTAAGCACTCAACCACTGAAGTTACACCTCAAGCCCTTTTATTTTGAGAGAAGTTCTTGCTAAATTGCCCAAACTGACCTTGAATTTATGATCCTACCTCAGCCTCCTGAGTAGCTGGGATTAAAGTAAAATAAAGGTGGTGTCACTGCCCCGAGTTTAGGAAGGTCACTCTTGCTGTGGAGAGTGAACTGGGAGGGACAGGGTGGAGACATGAGACCACTGAGAGCTTTGGTAGCTATCCAGATGACAGAATGGTGGCCAGGCCCCGTGGTGGCCACAGAGGTGTAAGAGGAGGGCCAAGTTACCATCTGTTTGAGAGGAATAGCAGTCAGGACCCATGGAAGGATCAAACCAGGGAGAGGGGACGCTGGAGTGAGCTGAAGCGCTAGGTAGGGGGGCTACCACTTACACTGGTCACTTTGGTAAAGCAAAGCAACATCCTCTTGTGGGGCTGTAGGGAAGGGCAAAGACTGGAAGGGAAGGAAACTGAAACCAAAATGGATCTGGAGGCAAAGGACTAGGGAGCAGTATGGTATAAGCTGGCCCTTCAGGAAACCAGGCATGCCCAGGGCTCTTCGAAGAACCACCAAGCGTGCTGCGGGGAACACAGGCCCAGCCAGTGGCTTCAGGACTTCCCTCTCACACAGTGCCCACAGCAAGGGGAGGACGGGAAGACTCAGGCGGATGACTCCCCTTTCACAGTCTGAGGACTGTATGAAACACAGAACTGTGATCCCTCTTTAAACTGTCTACAGGACTTCTCCGTCGCTTCCCTCACATCTGGCTAGCCCCCACCCCTCTGCAGCAAGACTCACAGACCTGCTTCCTTCTCCCCGTGGCGGAGCCCGAGGCACTGCTGAGCCTCTGCTCTTGCTCGTCCTCTTCAAGGTGCACTCTTGAACCCCGTTCTGCCCAGAGAATCTTGTCCTTTCTCCAAGGATCAATGAGGAGGATCAATGACAGATTTTTGAAACCAGAGAAAACAACCCCCTTCCCACTCTTGACTCTTGCAAGTTACTGTAACCTCTTTTGGGAGCTGGTGGCTGCTGCTTCCTTCCGAGTCCTCGGCCCTGGCCCAGACTAGGAGAGGACGATCTTATTTCGACCCAGTATCCCCCGACACACGCCCCGGAATTGTGAATTGAGTGACTTAGCAGGGCCCGTCCCTCCAGCTGACTTCGAGTCCAGTGCTCGGTCCATCGCAGAGGCACTTGGCTCCCTTGAGGGGCATACTCTCGGCCTATCGCATTCAGGTGTGCTGCCCACTGTGCGCCTGGCCCAACAGCCCAGTTTGCAGGGGCCAGGGATGCACCTGGAGATGGACACACTGTAGACCGTACAGCCACCCAACTTCCGGGTCACATGACGGGGCTGGCGTGGGGGGGCGGAGCCCATCACGTGACTTCAGAGCCCGCCTTCGTTTTTCTCACGTGACGGAGGCGCCGGCGTGTGGACCAATAAGGGAGCGGAGGAGGGGTTGATCGGGGTCGGTGCGCGGGACGGGAAGCTGGAGCATCTGAGGCGGCCGCTGGGACCGCGCATGGGTGTCCTCCCCGGCCAGCTTCCGATCTCAACCCCGTTGTAAGCTAGGCCCGGGTGCTGTGCTGGTGGCAGCATGAAGTGTGTGGTGACGGGCAGCAACGTGAAGGGTGAGTTTGAGCCGGCCTGGCAGGGGGCACGTGAGCTACCCCGGGCACCAGCCTAACGTCTCTGCTCTTCTCCCCGTAGTGCTGGGCAAGGCTGTCCACTCCCTGTCTCGCCTTGGGGACGAGCTTTACCTGGAACCCTTGGATGATGGGGTGAGGAACTGGGCATGGAGACGGGCGGGTTCCAGCCGGGAGCCTGGACTAATCGCTCGCCGCGCCGGGCAGGATGACTGTGGGCAGATTTGTCTGCGGAATTTGAGTTTCCTCTCTGGCTGTTGGGGCATCACCTGGGGCCCTGCCTTCGTCCCAGGCCGGAGTGTGTACGGAGCGCACTTTCCCTCCCTGGAGCGGCCAGTGGCAGTTCAGCCGTGACAGTAGACTCAGATAACTAGGGGAAGGGCAGGACGTGCTGAGCCGCAGTAGTGGAAGCAGGGGAGGACGGGAAGACTCAGGCGGATGACTCCCCTTTCACAGTCTGAGGTCTGTATGAAACACAGAACTGTGGGAGGGAGGCTGCCAAGGCTTCACGGAGAAACCACCTGCTGACTCCAAGGCAAAGGAGGATTTCAACAGATACTTTAGCAGGGGCACCTGGGATTACCAAAGAGCAAATGTGACCCAAATCAAGCCGGAGGGCGGGGCCTGCCCCTGTCGTAAGTGTGCCCCTCCCTTCTTTTTGTGGCCCAGCTCACCCTCAGGACAGTGAACTCTTCCCGCTCCGCCTATGCCTGCTTCCTCTTCGCCCCACTCTTCTTCCAGCAATACCAGCCTGCCACCCCTGGGCAGGACCTGCTGCGCTGCAAGATCCTGATGAAGGTGAGGCCTTCCTGTCAGCAGCAGCTGGCACTGCTCCACTCCGGAGCACTCTGCAGATGCTACCTAGGAGTAGCAGCTCCATGCAGAATCCAGTGAGGGGCACAGTGAGGACATTCACAGAGGATAATGGGAGCTGTGGAGAGCACTATTGACCCCAGGGGCCTGGAGAGAGTGGTGACATTCAAGCTGGTCAGGAACAGTAAATAGGTCTTTCAAGGCAGAGGAAATGGTGTGAAAAAAGCTCTGGGGAGCTGGGGCTTTAGCTCAGTGGCACAGCACCTGCCTGGCAAGCGCGAGGTCCTGAGTTTGATTCCCCGGTACCGGGGGAAAAAAAAAAAAAGTGCACACTTCCAGAGCGTTACATACCAGGGCATTGGTGAGCTGGGGCCTACATGGGACATGAGAGCTGCTGGTGGAGTCACAGTGCTATGCTGATGTCCCTTCCTCTCTCAGTCCTTCCTGTCCATATTCCGCTCACTGGCGATGCTGGAGAAGACTGTGGAAAAATGCTGCATCTCCCTTAATGACAGGAGCAGCTGCTTGGTGGTCCAGCTGCACTGCAAGTATGGTGAGTAGGCAGCTGGCCAGCCAAGGGCTCCTCGGGGTTTGGGGGTTGGTGAGGCCCACTGAGAACACTGTCTGCCCGTCCAGGAGTGAGGAAGACTCACAACCTGTCCTTCCAGGACTGTGAATCCCTGCAGGCAGTCTTCAATCCAGCCTCGTGCCCCCACGTGCTCCGCGCCCCTGCACGGTGAGCACACCCTTGCTGCAAGCTCAGCTTGGGTCTCTTTCCTACTTCTTTGGGGCTCCCAGGATGGACTAAGAAGGAACCTTTTTCATCCTCCTCCAGGGTTTCTGTGAACCTCAGTGTGCTCATGGGTCCTAACCTGGCTCTTTAAAAGCAGGGGCTGGTGTGGAAGAGGGGCAGGCGCCCCGTTTGTCCCATTCTCTTCACTGGCTGTAGGCACCTGCCTTCACCTTTCCTTATCACCCATTCTGATTCTTTTTCTCAGAGAGTGCATCTGTGCATGGCCATCACCTCTCTTTTTTTTTTTTTTTTTTTTCCAGACAGGTCTGGCTATGCAGTTCAGGCTGGCATTGAGCTCACTTTGTAGCCCAGGCTGGTCTTGAACTTGCAATGATCCTCTTGCCTCAGTCTCCCAAGTACTGGGATTACAGGCATGTGCCACCATGCCATCACCTCTCTTCTCTGACCTGAGTAACCTTGAAGATCTCTCTTTAACCTTGGGGTGCAAAGCGCTTCTGTGGCCTAATCCTTCTGAGGGGTGTCCCCATTCAAGGGAAGCCTCTTATAACTTCTGGGCTCTAGCCTTCAAGAATCCCTAGACCACGGCAGAAGGCTGAGTGGGGAGGTGAGGATCCAAGAGGGCTGCAACCGTCTACTGTGAGGGTGGACCTGTGCAGGGCCAAGGGTATGAGGAATCTAGCAAAGGTGAAGGCCATGGGGACCAGCTTAGAGACGAATGGGCTCCCTGTGCTGGGTGCTGGGTGCATTTAGCAAGCTCAAGGTGTAGTGCCTTTCTCCTGATGACTGAAGGTCCCTTCAGGTCCTGATAGCTCCTTTCCTGGATTCTGTGGAGCCAGCAGTGATCAGGGACTCCTTTGATTAGAGGAAGAGGGAAGGCTGTCACCTTGGTTTGCATTTGAGGTGTATTTCTTACTCTCCCTTTTTAAAAATGAAAAATTGTTTTTCTTTCTTATGGATAATTTCAAATACATCTAGAAATAGATGTTAGCTCCAGTTCTAAGTTGTCTTAAGGTGTATTTAATTTGTAAATACGTAGCAGCATAATTCTTAGAAGACAAGGATTTAAGGACTCTGTAGATCACGTTTCTAGGGATGGACTGAATGTGGTGTCCTACTCCTGCGTGGCCACTTGCTACCTGCCCAGCCTTCAGCGACCTTCTCTGGGCTGTGCTTGTGTTTGCTCCATGCCTCTTCTGCTGTGGGAGCTTTGGTCAGGCACGGATCACATCCTGCTCATCCTGTCCTGTGCTTCCCAGGCTGCAAGGCTGTACTGCACGTGCATATATGTGTCTCACTGCCCTGCTTCAGGTTTCCTGCGAACAAAGCCTCTGGCAGGGGTGAGCCTTAGCTCTGATGCTTTGTCCTCCTCACAGGATCCTGGGAGAAGCTGTTCTACCCTTTCCCCCTGCACTGGCTGAAGTGACACTGGGCATTGGCCGTGGCCGCCGGGTCATCCTGCGCAGCTACCAGGAGGAGGAGGCAGGTGAGAGAGCTAGACAGGTCCTAGGATGAAGCAGAGTTGGGGATGGGAGGGGATTGGATACCAGGGACCCAGGAGCCCAGGTTCCTACTGTGCCTGGCCCCATAGACAGCACCACCAAGGCCATGATGACTGAGATGAGCATTGGGGAGGAAGATTTCCAGCAGTTGCAGGCCCCAGAAGGAGTGGCCATCACTTTCTGCCTCAAGGAATTCCGGGTAAGCTCCTTTTCTTTTCCCACTCAACACCCTGTCCTTGTGGCCAGCTAGGCTCTCACTGCCCTGCTTCTTCCCTCTCAGGGGCTCCTGAGCTTTGCGGAGTCAGCAAACTTGCCTCTTAGCATTCACTTTGGTGCTCCAGGCAGGTAATTCCCGGCCTGGGGCAGAAGGGGGAGGCTTCTGTGATGCTAGGAGTGGAATAGAATAACCTAGCTTGAGATCTTGTCCCTGGGTCAGGCCAGCCATCTTCACCATTGAGGACTCTGTGCTGGATGGCCACTTCGTTTTGGCCACACTCTTAGAGCTGGATGCACACTCCCAAGACCTGAGCTCCTCAGAGCCCCACCGCCCAGTGCCTCAGCTGCAGGATCACAGGTGAGGGCATCACCCACCCACTCCTCCCTCCCTCCCTTTGTCAGCTTGAGCCTGCTGCTTGCAGCTTCCATGCCCCACCCCCTACTCCGCGCCCAGCTTCCTGTCAATCCCTAGCTCTACAGTACTCACAGCTTCCAGCCCTGCAGGCTCAGCCTTCATGGTCAGCTGTATTCAGAGACCCCTCCCACCCAGGGAAGGGTCCCCAGGGTCCTACTGGCTTCCTTCTCTGGCTGAGGCCTCTCCTCTGAGTCTCCTCTTAGGCCAAGGAGGGAAAGAGCTGTTGGGAAGTAGGGAGCTGCCTGGGGTGGGGGAAACAGGTGGCTGGAAGGGCAGGTGGGTTGAGGAGGATGGGCCCAGTGTAGTGGAAGCAGAGGAAGTTTGGTCTGGCCCTCTGCCCAGTGGATCCCTGGAGTGCAGTGCATTCCAGCTCCTGTCCCCTGGGAAGGTGGGGGCTAGGGCCCCAAGTGGCCTGCTCACAAGACTTACTGTTCCCCTCCCTCACGTAAGCTAAACTAGCCCTCAGGATGTCTCCCTCAGGCCCCTACCTGAACTGTGATCAAAGGGATTGCAGACCCACCCCTTCCAGGAAGCCCCCACTTAACTCATGCATCCTCTCCTCTCCAACCAAATCAGGAAGTAATAAAACCAAGAGCTCACCAGCAGTCTGGAGGCCCCAGAGCCCTCTGAAGTGCAGCCTGCCAATGTACCCCCACTTCTCTCCCTATTCCTTGCTGATAACTGTCTCTGCCTACAGCACACTCCACCAGGATAATTTTGCCAGTGATGACATTGACTCTTACATGATTGCCATGGAAACCACTGTAGGCAGTGAGGGCTCTCGGGCACTGCCCTCCGTTTCCCTTACACCTGGCCCCCAGCACCACTGTGGTCCTGGCCCCGAGTCAGAGGAAGAGGATGAAGCTGAGCCCAGTCCAGTGCCTGGGACTCCCCCTCCCAAGAAGGTAGGAGCTGGAGATGGGGGACAGGGACAAGAGGGTGAGAAAGGGCGCAGCATCCAAAACTCACTCTGCCTCCTCTCTTGTCTTCCCAGTTCCGCTCGCTGTTCTTTGGCTCCATCTTAGCCCCCATACACTCTCCCCAAGGCCCCAGCCCTGTACTGGCTGAAGATAGCGATGGTGAAGGCTGAAGAACATACCAGAAGTCCGTGTCCTAAAGCCATGGACTAGAAGCCCCAGCAAGTGTGGCAGGGCTGGGTCTTGGGGATGAGGGTTGGGGTAAGAGAGGGGTTGTGCTGGACCTGAGCTGGTAGTTCCGCTCCTATCCAAAAGCTTCTGCCTGGCTGTCCATTGTAGAGCTGCCTGGCTGGCTGTGCCAGGCCTGGGTCCTGTCATCCCCCCATAATCGTGCAATCAATCATGTCTCTTCTCGGGCCTGGTGCCAGACTGCCACCTGATAGAAGATGCCTCACCTGTCATGTACTGTAGAGCCTCCAGCCATGTGGCTGAAGCCAAAAGCCCACCTTCCTTAGGCTTACATCCCTAAGAGAAAGTCATAATGGGGCTGCAGCTGCTGCTGATCCACCCTCTTTGCCAATCATGAACCACTCCTCCTTTGAGCATTGCCCACACCTCTGGAACCCCCAACACTCTTCTTGCTTTCCCAATACTCTTTGGCTCTGGCTTGAATTCTAAAAGCCTCTGGATCTGACTATAGACATATATATACACATATATATATATATATATATATATATATATATATGCCTGGGTTGTCCTGGCAGGGCCTCTGCCCAGCAAACATGACCTCCCAAATGGCTCTGGGCAGAAGGGATGCCAGGCCCAGTGTCTAGGACAAGTGAGACAGAGGCCATGGCGAGAATCCAGCTTTGACTTTTATTCAAGAGACCAGATGGGTTGCCCCAGGATCCTGCTGCCAGCCCTGTGGCCAAGCACAGCTGGAAACCCACAATCTGGCCTGCCATTGCCCTGAGCTGCAGCCTTAGCCCCAGGTTCCCACTTGCAGCCACCACAGTTGAGGGTGGGAGGAAGCCCTGGGGGATTGGACGCTGCTATTGATTCATTAAAAAACAAAGAAAAATACACCAAGGCTCCGCGTCCCCCACGATGGGTGGGCCTGAGGGGCTTTTGTGACCTCCAGTGGCAGCATTTCTTTACAATCAATCCATCTGGGGTAGAGGGGTGGCACACAGAGGTTATTTCTTGGCTTTGGCGGAGTTTCGGGGTGGGGTAATAGGTCGGCCTCCAGGGTTCAGGCCACTGAACTGCCCATACTTCCCCTTGTTCTTGTCAGCGGGCTTGAGGATCTGAAAGAGAAAAGCTTGGTCAGTCTCCTGCTGAGCCACAGGGCCCACCAGCCCCTTCTGCAGGGCCCACCTGGAAGGAGCACATGAGGGTCTCATCCACACTCATCATGGCGCCAGCGTTGTCAAACTCGCCACAGTAATTAGGAGCTGAGAAAAGTGTTACCAGTTGCCGCTTGGCAAAGAACTCATACCCATCTTCTACCACCTGAGAAACATAGGAACAGTGAGAGCCAAGTCTGACCCATCTATTACCCCTTTCTGCCCTAACCCAGGACTGCCAGCCCACCTGGTGGGCCCGGCAGATGAGGTCCAAGTCATGCTTGTGCAGAAACTTGGCCACCACCTCAGCCCCAAAGGTAAAGGAGACACCACGGTCATTCTCGCCCCAGCCCTGCACGTCTTTGTCAGGGTCAGACCACAGCAGGTCACACAATAGGCCTTGATCAGGCACGTCTGTGGGCCGCATGATGCGTCGGATCTGCTCCATGGACTGCAGGTCTGGGGACAGGCCTGGAGAAAACAAGATGGGACACTTTAAGCCTCAAATCAAGGACCCCTCTTCCTCCAGGAAGCCTTTGGGAATCAGCCTTACCATTCTCACCACCACTTGGCCCTTCCCTGGACCCCTGGGAGCCCAGGCAGGCAGAACTCATCCCCCCTGGGCTTTTTCAAGTCCCAAATATAAGCACAGAGATGCCCCTGCCTTCAGGAAGTGCAGAGCTCCCTAGAGAAAGGAGACAGCTGAGTTCCATGCAGGATGCCAAATGCCACAACAGGAAAGAGCGCAGCCTAATGGGTACGGGGGTGATTTCCTACAAGAACTGACATCCAGGATGAGACCCAAGGAGAGCTGCTTGAAGCGACTGGGAACAGTCTTCTAAAAGCTTTGCTCCAAGGCCCCAGGGGGATGTGTCCTGGGTATTACAAGTGCCCCACAACCACCCTCACCTCCGTGGCAACAGAAGATTTTCTCGTCCACAATGGCAGCGATGGGCAGGCAGTTGAAGCAATCAGTGAAGGTTTTCCATAATTTGATGTTGTAGCGTCTCTTGCCTGCCCAGAGGAAGGAGATGGCTCATGGGGAGCCCAGCCCACCCCACCTTTACCCTGGCTCTCTGGGCCCTCCAGGGCACTGTGGGCTATTCAGGAATATAAGTAGCTGGGAGAAGAGAACAGAAGGCAAGGAAGGCTCAAGCTCCTGCCGCCACCCCACCAGTCTTTTGAGAGTAATTCTAAAGCACCTGAGTCCAGAGGAAGCCAAGTTCCAATCTGGCCCAGTGTCAGGGTTGGCACCCACCCCCATCCCATGAGCAGGCTCAAGACAAAACCAAGTCTGTTTTATCTCTATTTCAGGTCAGCACAGTCTGGTCTACATAGGCATCTAAGTGCCCAAGAAACAGATGTCCTGGAGAGAAGTGTCACCAGATAGAGCCCTGCAGGGAAGCATCAGCTAATAGGGAGCCCCTCCAGCAGCATCTATTCACCATACTCCTCCTGAATGTCAGGCCCCAGACCAGGGAGGGCAGGACAGAGCTTACAGTCCATCAGGGAGCTGTGAGAGCTCCATGAAGAGCAAGGCATGCAGTTTCCAGTTCTGGGCAGCCCTCAACACTCAGACCACTCACACTCATCGTAGAAGCCGTAGATACGGTTGATGCTGGCACACTCATGGTTCCCTCGGAGAAGGAAGAAATTCTCAGGGTACTTGATCTTATAGGCCAGCAGCAGGCAGATGGTCTCCAAAGACTGTTTGCCCCGGTCCACATAGTCCCCCAGGAAGAGGTAGTTGCTCTCTGGAGGGAAGCCACCGTACTCGAACAGCCGCAGAAGGTCGTAATACTGGCCATGGATATCACCTGTGACCCAGGGCACCTGGTAAGCTAGGTGCAAGGTGTAAACTTGAACCTAGGGCCAGGAAGGGACTCAAGGGAGGAGGGATCCAGGAACTTCGGGGTCAGGGGTGATGCCACTCTTAGGAAGCCAAAGATGCCTGGGCAGAGGCTCACCGCAGATCTTGAGGGGGGCCTCGAGCTCCAGAAGAATGGGCTGGCTCAGGAAAATCTCTCGGGATTTGAGGCACAGACCACGGATCTCGTTCTCTGTCAGCTGTACATTCTTTCCAGGCCGCGAGCCCTGCACTGGGGGCGGGATGGGATGTTAGGACCATGGTCCCTGGTGGGACATGGGCACCTCTGGGGACGACTGAGCCCTTCCTTGCCCAGGGGCAGTTGTTGCTGAGCCTCCCAAGACAAGTCCCCAGTTACCCTGGGGGCTCTCCAAGGGAGACTGTGAGTAGAGCCTGTAGCCCAAAACCTCACAGAACAGGACCCCTTCCCGGATAGGCTTTACAGGTTTCTCACCTCGAGCGCAGGCCACCCTGCGCCCCAAGCCCAGGAGAGGCGACTGCTCCGCCTGCCGGAGCGTGCCCCAAACCTCTGAGACGCGCCCACGGTGGGGGAGCTGTAAGCACGGGACCTTACGGCCCGTCCCCGCCCAGTCGAAGCTGGCCCGGGACGCTCAGGCCCGCCCGCGGCCACTTCCAGGCCGGGCTGGGAGCCAGGGCGCGGCCCTTCCCCACCCTGGCCAACCTTCCAGCAGGCGCCCGATGATAGAGTCCAGGTTGAGCTTCTCGCTGTCGGACATGGCGGCGCCGCCGCTCCGGCCCAGCAGCTCCGGGGCCCGCTCCTACCTCCCGCCCTCCCGCAGCCTCCTTCCGGCCTGGCTCTCCTTCCGTCCGCCCCAGTCCGCCCCCGGCCCGCCGCCCCGCCTCCTCGGCCGCCCGCCCCGCAGTTCCCCGCCTTCTAGCGCCTCTGCTGGACGGGAAGCGCAGCGGGCGCGGCTGACTAGGGGCGGGGAGTTAGGCGCGGCTGTGGTCGGGGGCGGAGCCTGACTAAAGGTTGGTGGGTGGGGTTTTGTGGGGCTGGGTTTGCAGGGGCGGGTTTGAGGCTGGCTCCGCCCTTGAGCAATTACCCAGCCCTGCTCGGAGGATTTGGGCCGGAAATACTGGAAAGCTGTTTTTCTTTTTCAAAGGCTAAACAGTTCTTTCCACTCCTAGCCCAAGATTCCGAGATAGCTAGAGGCTGGTTACCTGGGTCTCCGTGGCTACCCAGGCAGCTGGCCAGACCCTAGGAAATCTGTCACTGAACTCTTAGTATATTTTGGTCCACATTGCCCACCCAGTTAATTTTTTAAAATATAAATTCCAGCCGAGCATGGTGGCACATGCCTCTAAACCCAGCATTCAGGAGGTTGACAGAAGGACCGCTGTGAGTCAGAGCCCAGCCTGGACAGCATAGTGGGACTGTCTCAAAACAGTCAACAAAATTTAAATAAGTAAAACAAAAATTAAATAAGTAAAATATAAATTCCGTAGTTGGCTGGGCGTGGTGATGCACCCCTGTAACCCCAGCACTGAGGAGGCTGAGGCAGGAGGATCACTGCGAGTTCAAGGCCAGCCTAGGCTACACAGTGAGTTCAAGGCCTGTTTGAACTACATAGCAAAACCCTGTCTCCAAAAAAGAAAAAGAGAATTAAGTCTTACTGGAACCCTGAGTTGACTTACACATGTGAGTAACCTCAAACCTTAAAGTGGCTGCTACTCTCTGACAAGGTAGGGCCCCATCACACCCAGCACAAGGGATGGTGGGAGGAGTCTGTGGCTCAGAGATACTGGGGTAGGCCAGAAGAACCTCTGAGAGGAAGGGGTGACCCCCCCCATACACTTGGGAGGGGCCCCCAGTGGGTTGCTGAAGCTCAGTCTAAAGAGGAAGTGAGAGGAGGAGGTGAGGTGCGGCAGGGAGGTGAGCCAAACTGGTGGGGACAGCGGCTGGGCCTGGCATTTCTGCCCCTTCAGGGCCCAGCCCACTCCCCAATAAAAGAGCACACAGCAGGCTGGGAGAGATACCCTGAAAGCTAATCTCTTTGACTCCACAGCCAGGCTTGAGGGCCTGGACCTGGCTGGCTGGGAACCCAGGCCCCAAGTGGGTCCGGAGGTGCCCTCACACTGGCTCTCCCCACATCTTGCAGCTGGTGGCATCAGGGGTCTGGAGCGCCATGGCTCAGGCCCTGGGGGAGGACCTGGTACAGACTTCAGAGCCTCAGGATGACTCCAGCTCTTTGGGGTCCGACTCAGAGCTGAGTGGACCTGGCCCATATCGCCAGGCTGACCGCTATGGCTTCATTGGGGGCAGCTCACTGGAACCAGGGTAAGTGGGGCAGAAATGAGGGTGGGGTGGGGATCAAAGACTGAGGATAGAGACTGAGGGCTGAATTCTGGAGTAAGGCCCAGTTTAGAGGGTATGAGGAGGATCTGGCTGTAGGCATCTGGTCAGGGACTCCCCTCTAGGCTCCAGGTGGAAGCCCAAAGTGGGAGGGTGATGTGGAGGAGACTCCTGTATGTTTCTTTTATGCCAGCCTCCAAGGGTTTGCACCCATCCCTGGGCCTGAGCACTTTTCTCCTTTACCTTTACCCAGGAACCTCAGGTCCAAATCATAGAACCTACCCCTCCTCCCCTTCCCCTCTGCAATGTACAAACAGGAAAACAAGTCCACAGACAGATAGAAACTTGCTCTGGGTCACACAGCAGATCAGAGACAGAAGCAGACTCCTGGCTTCCAGTCCAGGGTTATGTCCAACAAGCTTTTCTTACCCTGGGTGACAGCCAGCCAGCCCCTCCCCAACAGACACCTACTCACCCAGTCTCCCCTACTTCTGCCCATATTGTAGCCACAGCCTTTCCTGTCCCTGTGGCAGCCTTTGGCAGCTATGGGTCACAG